ATATATATATATATATATATATATATATATATATATATATATATATATATATATGTATATATTTATGTATATGCACACACGCATACATATATATGTGTGTGTGTGTGTGTGTGTGTGTGTGTGTGTGTGTGTGTGTGTGTGTGTGTGTGTGTGTGTGTGTGTGTGTGTGTGTGTGTGTGTGTGTGTGTGTGTGTGTAAGAATGCATGTTACGTACTCTCTATACATGTCTATACAGTCTAAGCAAAGGAAGAAGCGAGGCCAGCAGGGCCACAGGAGGCAGATAAAGCCGAGTAGAGAATTCACGAACGAAGACCGTCCGTCCTGGTAGACAGAGTGGAGAAACTGGTGTAATCAAAATGGTTAACTTTAGTCGCCCTGAGGACTTGGGAGATTGCCATGCATGTTGCATGGCCCTTTATCGTCCATGGCGACAACGCAAATAATGGCCATTTCTGAGGAATATTAGATGCTGACAGTTCGCGAGATGATTAGCGAAGCACAGCTTACGCTGGTATGCGAAGGAAGACTCCAATTTGTGTTTATATAAAGAGAATTTCCGCGTCACTCCCTGGGGCACAATTTAGAAATTGAGGTTACGGACTGCATGTCACATATATATTAGTGTTTTCAATATAGGCGGCGTCTGGCATGCCGGCGTCTTCCGCTTGCCAGAACATAGATTGCTGCTTTTACGCCACCTTAACAAAACACGTTTTAAGACTGTTTAAGGAAATGCGATATTGTTAAGGTTTGACTTGAACAAACTGCAAATGTTGAGTTCGTGTGGACAAAGAACGATATACTTTTTTCATAATATACGGGAGGAGTGGCAAATATGATAAAGATGGATAACGTCATATGTGAAGGCAGATTGATATAAACAGTCAGGGCAGTAAAGAGACAGGCGAGGAAATATGGTGCGGCTTTCAGCAGGTAGATCGTGAAAAATGACGCGCTTCCCCGAGATTCCCAGCGCGTCCTTCGGGCGCTCAGCAGACCTCGCTCAGCAGTCGTCTGAGCCTCTGATTCGCGTAGAATTTGAAGGCAGGGACCGTGCTGCTTTGGCGATGCATTTCAGTCGTCTATATTTATTTTCGTAAACAGAAATACATGATGGCAATGAGTATACCAGATCTATACAATAATGGGGTAACAGGATCCTTTTACATTTGTAATTCAATAAAAAATGATTGCTTCCTTCATATTATAAGATGCTTTTTCGAAAGACGACAGTCATTTATATATCATTCTTTTATTTTTTATCCGTCATAAACTTCGGCTTCTTGCACCCTTTAATTTATGTGCCCGTCAGAAGTGCCATCATTTGGTGTAATTTGTAATCCAACAAAAAAGAAGGAAAAGTAAGTTGGGAATGCTCCGAGATATGAAAAAAACGCACATATCATAGTTATTGGCTGGCTCCCGCACCTCTCTCTCTCTCTCTCTCTCTCTCTCTCTCTCTCTCCTCTCTCCTCTCTCCTCTCTCCTCCCTCCTCTTTCCTCCCTCCTCTTTCCTCCCTCCTCTCTCTCCTCCCTCCTCTCTCTCCTCCCTCCTCTCTCTCCTCTTTCCTCTCTCCTCTCTCCTCTCTCTCCCCTCTCTCTCCCTCCCTCCCTCTCTCTCTCTCTCTCTCTCTCTCTCTCTCTCTCTCTCTCTCTCTCTCTCGTTCTCTCTCTCTCTCTCGTTCTCTCTCTCTCTCCTCTCTCGTCCCCCTCCCCTCTCTCTCTCTCTCTCTCTCTCTCTCTCTCTCTCTCTCTCTCTCTCTCTCTCTCTCTCTCTCTCTCTCTCTCTCTCTCTCTCTCTCCTCACTCTCCTCTCTCCTCTCTCGTTCTCTCTCTCTCATATCTCGTTCTCTCTCTCTTCTTTCGTTCTCTCTCTCTCCTCTCTCGTTCTCTCTCTCTCCTCTCTCGTTCTCTCTTTTCTCCTCTCTCGTTCTCTCTTTTCTCCTCTCTCTCTCCTCTCTCGTTCTCTCTCTCTCTCTCTCTCCCTCTCTCTCCCTCTCTCTCTCTCCCTCTCCCTCTCTCCCTCTCTCTCTCTCTCTCTCTCTCTCTCTCTCTCTCTCTCTCTCTCTCTCTCTCTCTCTCTCTCTCTCTCTCTCTCTCTTCTGTCTTTCTCTCTCTCTCCTCTCTCGTTCTCTCTCTCTCCTCTCTCGTTCTCTTCTCTTTCTCTCCTCTCTCGTTCTCTTCTCTCCCCCACTCTCTCTCTCTCTCTCTCTCTCTCTCTCTCTCTCTCTCTCTCTCTCTCTCTCTCTCTCTCTCTCTCTCTCTCTCTCTCTCTCCCTCCCTCTCTCTCTTTATGTTTCTCTCCCTCCCTCTCTTTCTGTCTCTCTCCCTCTCTCTTTCTGTCTCTCTCCCTCTCTTTCTGTCTCTCTCCCTCTCTTTCTGTCTCTCTCCCTCCCTCTCTCTCTCTCTCTCTCTCTCTCTCTCTCTCTCTCTCTCTCTCTCTCTCTCTCTCTCTCCCTCTCTTCTGTCTCTCTCCCTCTCATCTCTCTCTCGCTCTCTATCTCCTCTCTCTCTCATCTCTCTCTCTCTCTCTTCTCCTCTCTCTCTCTCTATCTCTGTCTCGTCATCCCTCTCATCTTTCCGTGTCTCTGCTCCTCTCTTCCTCTCTCCTCGCCTCTCTCTTTCTGTCTCTCTCACCTCTCTCTTTCTCTTCTCCCTCTCAATTTCTCTCTTCTCTCTCTTCCCTCCCTCCCTCTCCTCCTCCCTCTCACCTCCCTACCCTCTCTCATCTCCTTGCCTGTCTCTCTCCTCGCTCTCTTTCTGTCCCGCTCTCACCTCTCTCGTCTTTCTGTCTCTCTCCCTCTCTCTCTTCTGTCTCTCTCCCTCTCTCTTCTCTCTCTCTCCTCTCTCTCTCTCTCTTGTCTCTCTACCTCTCTTTCTGTCTCTCTCCCTTCCTCCCTCTTCTGTCTCTCTCCCTTCCTCCCTCTCCCTCTCCCTCTCCCTCTCCCTCCCTCCCTCCCTCCCTCCCTCCCTCCCTCTCTCTCTTTCTGTCTCTCTCTCTCTCCTCTCCCTCTCCCTCTCCCTCTCCCGCTCCCTCTCTTTCTGTCTCTCTCCCTCTCTTTCCGTGTCTCTCCCTCTCTCTCTTTCTGTCTCTTTCCCTCTCTCTCTTTCTGTCTCTCTCCCTCTCTCTCTTCTCTCTCTCTCTCTCTCTCTCTCTCTCTCTCTCTCTCTCTCTCTCTCTCTCTCTCTCTCTCTCTCTCTTTGTCTCTCTACCTCTCTTTGTCTCTCTACCTCTCTTTCTGTCTCTCTCCCTTCCTCCCTCTCCCTGTCCCTGTCCCTCTCCCTCTCTCCCCTCCCTCCTTCCTCCCTCGCTCCTCTCCTCTCTCCTTTTCTCCCGCCCTTGTTTCCGCTGCTGCTCCGGCCGCCGCGCCCTCAGCAACACGGGTCCCTTGGGAGCCCTGGCCCCTCCCCTTCGCCCGCCTCCGGGTTATAGGGTCGTCAGGAGCATCCGCGACGACCGCCACTTCGACAATGATGGCACTAACTGCCTAACGAGGTGGCAGCGCCAGCCCCAAACGAGCTCGTGTGAAACCCACTATTAAAAAGTAGGAAACAAAAATGCTGCGGATGTTAGGAACAGAGAAAATGGTGTCTGTGGTGATGAGGGCAATGATGATGATAGCGACAGTGATAATTGTAATGGTAATAATGATAATAATGAAATTGATAATGATAATGATGATGATGATGATTGATGATGATGGTAGTAGTAATAGTAGTTGAAGTAATAATAATTATGATTAATAATAAATAGTAATAATGATAATGGTGATCATAATAACAGCAATAACAATTTATATGATATTCGTTTCCTTGTCTCTTTGCTTTCATCTGAGGAGTGAAAATGAATATTGACTTGAATCCTTTTGCCGTGGTTTGGGCGTCTGTCTCTGACTGACAAAAGAATATGCAAATATACCTTGAGCGTTAGTGTGTAACATGGAGGCAGGACCAATCGGCGAAACTTTGGATTTTAAGATTCAATAAAGAAACTAGTTGCTAATCTGAACCCATTTCCAGCGAATCTTGATCCCCGGCGGTCGCTCGCGTACATGTTTTAGGATTGTATGATAAGTTATGGAGATTATGAGGGTTATAGGGGGTAGTGACGATGACGTTACTGGTAAAACTCGTAGCAATAAATATATATATATATATATATATATATATATATATATATATATATATATATATATATATACACACACATATACGTTTGTATATGTATATATGTATGTATGTATATATGTATATGTATATATTTGTATATATGTATATATGTGTATGTATGACACAGATTATTATAATATTGACATGTAGAATATCTGGCCTGATCTCCGAGTTCATTTTTCTTCTTGGCAGCGGAGGCTTAGGCTCAGCCCTGATCCCCTTTGATTCCCGTTCATCCCGCCCGCCCGGCCTCCCTCACGCCGCCCACCTCGAGGGGCGCACTCACGGGCCTCGGGGCCATAAATTCGGCGTCCCCGGGGCAAGGGTCTTCCCTTCGTGCCGCCTCATCTTCCTGCCGGATTACCAGACACTACTGTGAATTTGACACACTTTTGAAATTCTCGTAAATCAGTCCCGCGGCGGCTTAGTTCCCCGGAGCGTCACGCAGGCTCCGAGTCGAGGCTGATGAAAGGCGCGGCGGCGATTCGGGCGGCGAGGGCCAGCCGCCCTTCGTCGCTTTGCTTTCGCTGCGTAATGACTCAATTAGACGCAGCTGAGGCGCCGAGACGTGAGGCAGGCCGCGCACCGGGCATGAGGGCCTTTCCCCGCGTCCTGCTTATCCTGTTTTATTACGAGGAAAGTCGTCTCTCCGGGCGGATAACCAGCGACGATGATCCTTATCGCTCTTGTGGGACTGCCCTTGCGGTGTCATTGCGAGCAGTGCCGCACAGAGTGTATCTGGAAAAAAAAAATCACTCAATGTTTTGATAACTGCAGCAGGTCATTTAATACGACCTCTCTACTGACGTAACCTCTGGGCTGCGTCAAG